TATTTTTTGGATAATCATAAATTAAGAAAAAAAAGTCTAGATTATGATTTAAAGCATTAAACATTTGCAGCCATTCATGCCAATGGCTTAAAACAATACATATCAGTGATTCACTAGAAGAAAAAACCGATATATATATATATAATATATTCTGTCTGTGACCCATAGACTAACAAATCATATATAAAATTATTTTCAAATTTTAATTTTTTAGTGAATAATTAGAAAATAAATCGTCATTTTTTTTAAAAAAAATATATTTTTTCATTAAGGTTTTGAGTATATTGATGAGCTGAATAAGATGAAATAAATAATCCTTAATCATTTCAGGGTGTTTTTCAGCAACAGTTTTTTTAAGTAGCTTTTTTTTCAGCGATTTTAACCGGTTAAAAATTCGAATGTTATTTTTTTTTTATAATAATTCAAGTAACATATTATTTTGAATTAATTTTTTAGAATGTTAATTACCATTTTATAAAAAATTAATACAATCAATATTTATTTTTAAACGTTTCATAAAAATATACTCCAAACACCTACGTTACTAAATAACTTAATAAATTACAAACAATTAATTTATCCAAGAGACGCTTGGCCAACTCCCAACATCCATAAAAAGGTTTACCTGGAACTTGGAATTATGAGTCAAAATCGCATAAAAGTCTTTCCACACGTAGGATTACGAAGTCAAAATCGCCAATGGTGTCAGTCACATGGCTAGAAGTGACAAGATTTGTCTTTGGCCATGAAAGAAAAATTTGTGGTACTGGACATCCGTAGATATATAACTTGTTTTCTTCCTATCTCATTCCAATTGGTAATAATTAACGTCGTGTAACCTTTCTGGAATGAGATTTGTAGTTTTTAACATTGGACTAGCTATCGTTTTCAAATTAAAAATGTTTTTTTTCCTCCATTTTAGAGAGACTCAAAATTTGTGGGTTGGGAAGGAAAATTAATAAGCAATATTTTCCTTCTTTCCCAAACAAGGACATAACAATTGTATGCGACAAAGCAGTCGACAACCCTTTAAGCAAAGTTAAATTATTTCTTCTGTGTCGAATAGCCTATTGTGCGAAGTTGGCGCATGTTTTTGAAAAGTAGGAAATCAATAAAAGATGTTATGATGTCCTTTTGTGTAATTCAAACCTTGAACAACCCTTCCTTCACAGATACGTGTCACGGTCCAAAGAATATAGTAATGTTTCGCCCATTTTCCATCCGTAACCGTCATGTTTCTTTCCAATTACTTTCGTTTGGAAAGTAAGCTGGAAGCGGGATCTTTCTGTACGGAATAGATAATTTCATTTCAATTTTTATTTTACATTTTTTCCTCGTCGGAAAAAATAAAGATTTCCTTTCCACCCTTTCCTTCTTCCCAGTTTCTCTGTCATTTCTTGTGTGCCAAAAATCTCAACCAGAAGTGGGACCAACGCACCGCACAGTGGGTCCTAACACAAATTACAACGCTTTTTAAAATCAGATTTGATAATTAGTCAAAAAGTTTAAAAATAAAAATTTATGTTATGTTTGAAAAGGAAAAGGAAGTAAAATAAGAAGTGATTATTTATTTTTCGTTTAAAAATAAAGTGAAAATTAGTTAAAAAATATATGTAATTTACATCCCTCCTTCATATTTTTCATTTCAAATTAACAAAAAATTTTAAATAATTTTAAAGAAATTTTTTCACCCTTTATTTTACATTCCCATTTTAACACCTCCATCATTAATGTTGATAAATGCATTGGATGATGATTTTTGTTTTAAATTAATTTTTAATCCTAAAATAATTAATAATTCAATTAATTTGGCTGATAAAAATACACTTATAACCTATTAAGAATAGTCTACTCAAAACAAATAATTTATTATTATTTTGAATAAATTAATATATATAGAAACCAATTTTAAAAACTTGATTTTAACAATAAACAAAATTCATCTGAAAATATTTCTTAAATAAGTACAGTACAACAGTAAACCACCAAAACCATTTAATATTTTCCTCCTTCATATGGCTCACATGGGTACTAACATGGATGGATTTAAACTTAGATATATTAATATAAATAGGCAACGCTTGACGCAGACAAAATAAATAATATGTAGGGCCCATAAAGGAACTACCCTCCAAGCTAAACCTTGGAAGGGTCGCGTGACCTGGTGGGAGGAAAAACCTCAAGTAATGAATGGTATTTTCCTACGGGGCCTAACGCCGCCTACCATAACAGAAATAAAAAAAAGAATATCGGTTCAGTTTTTGTTTTCTCGTTTTGGATGAAAACCTACCAAAAAACGAAATTACTCCGTTTTTTTGTTTTTGTGCTTTGGTCGTTTTGAGAGTTGCGAAGCTCGGCACTTTTATTTATAAATAATAAAAATTAATTTATTTTAATTTATAAATATTTTATTTGATGAAATAAAATTTTTAATTGATTTGGCTAAATTTTATTTCCCCCATGTGTGTCAGGTAATTTTTCTTGTCTCGTCTTATTTGTAATTCAAAAATTAAGAAAATATAATGAATTTTCAAGTTTTTTATCCATGTATTTTGGACCTTTCAATAGCTATTATTTTTATTTCTTTTTATAGAATTGATTTAACCCTTATTTTTTTTTTAGAAATTGACATGGTTCAATTATTTCTTATAAACTCAATGTACCGGTGCAATGTGCAAATTAATATAATTTATGTATTTTTTTAAATTAAATTGAATGTTAATTTTCAAGCAAAATTATTGTACTTATAATTTATGTTGCTTAATTTAAATGATTACTTATTTATTTTTAAATTATAAATAAAATTATAATTAATAAGCTTTTTTTTGAAAAATTTCAAGTAACTGAAATATTAATTTAGCACGATTAATCATTGTAAATCAAATTAATTTTAATTCAAACTAATATAGTTAATTTTTTTTTTTCTCCTTAAATTTCTCATACATTCAAAGTAGATGAGGTATAAGAATATTTAATTGTTATGAAATAAAAATTTAAGTAAATTGAAATTAAAATTTTTTAAATTTTATTTTTAATGTAACTATATTATTTAATCAATTTTTATTAATTATAATATATTTATAACTCCATTTAATTTTTTTTAATAGATAAAAACTATTTTTGTAAAAACTCATATTTATTAAATGTAACAAATATTAATTATAATGAAATCATCATTAAATTTATAAGTTGCAACTCCATTATTTCAATAAAAAATTAATTTTTATTAAATGCAAAAATATTATTATAATGGAAAAATAAATGACATGTTCATCAGTGTAAATATTATATATAATGTTGCCACCAATAAACAATTAATTCTTTAGAAATTATAATATTAATATAGATAGATAGATAATTAATACCCCAAAATTAATAGAACAGAGGAAGTACTAGTTTGATTTACTCCTCATCCTTTTCTGCCCTTTGTTCCCACCTAATTCCAATTCCTAAATTTTAATCTTTTTTCTATTTTTTTAAACTATACACTTTTTTTTATCCTGTAAATATAAATCGTTTTAGAGAATGAAAAAAAAATTTTTTTTTTATTTTCATATTTATCATTTTTTGAATATTAAAAGTAATTAATAATTTTTTTCTAAATTTTTATTTATACATATATTAAAGCACATCAATTATTTTTTTGTAGTATCTTTTTTAAATCATCCTTTAATTAAAATTAAATGTGATATAAGAGTAATTTAATTACTCCAATATAAGAGTAAATTCATTACATACCCCTTGAAAGAGACGAAGCTTGAGTTTTCTTGAACGCTGATCAAATTACCAAAGCAATTCTTTCAAAAATAAGATCATAATTTATTATCAACCTTCAATATGCCTAAACTAAAATTTCCAAATAAATGCTTAATCAATTTTCTGTATTACTAATAACAATGCCTCTAGCGCTTCTCTTTACTACTCATTTAAATCTCCAAATCACAGTATTTTCTCTTCTATTTTTCTTTAAAATTAAAAAATTGGATTTTTGAAAAAAATTGGATTTATTATTATATAATTTAAATATAATATTTAAAAATATTTTTATTTAATACTAAATTAAAAATTATAAAGATTTAAACTAAAATTAATTATCTTAATTTACTATTAAATTATAATTTACGATAATAACAAATATATGCGGTATATAACGGATCCGGACTCTAATCTCCTTATCAAAAATAAAAAATTTATTTGCGCTTCTCGCCTTCAATACACTACCAACGAAGCATAACCGGTTCCTATCTAACATCAGCAATTTTGCCATTTTAGTTACCTCTTCCTCTATAAATGCAAAGCAGGACACCATTGGACATTAAAAATAATTATTCCGATGGCAATAATCCGTAATGTTACAAAGTAGACCCCCCAGTAAGCGGTTTCTTGGCAGTCTCGAGCATACCTACCACTACCACTGATCACAGTTACTTTCACCGTTCTACTCTCTCCTCTTACAGTCTCATCCCATTCTACTATATATACATCATACATTGTCAAAACCTCTTTTCTTTCAATTTTTCACGATACCATACTCCTATCTGCAACTGCAAGAAGTTTTCTGTTTTTCTATATACCACATGTCTCGTCGTGGTGGTGGGCCGGAGGCCGGAATTCTAGTCGAGACCAAGCAGCAACAACCTTTCTCCCTCACCGTCATTCAACGCGGTGGTGGCGGCGGTGAGGAAGAGGAAGAGGTCGAGGGTCGAGGTCGAAGTGGGAGATGGTGGTCGTGGGACCTGGCTCCAATTACGCTCCCGTCACAAACTTCCACGGTTCCTTCACCTCCGCTTTCCCTCCCATAATCCTGCTCAGCGGGGCCGTTTCCCCGGTCCTTCTTTTCTTCGGTTCCTCCCACAGTCTACTCCCCAAGTGGTGTCTTCGTATTCCGAGAGGTTCCGGCGCCCACCGGCTCAGGCAGCACTCCCAGTTTCGTCGTCTTACGGTCTTCCACAGTCCTACTAAGTGGTGTCTTCCGTATTCGAGAGATCCCGGCGCCACCGGGCGCCACCGGCTCAGGCAGCCTCCAGTTCGTCGTCTTCGGTTCCTCCACAGTCTACTCAAGTGGTGTCTTCGTATTCGAGAGGTCCGGCGCCACCGGCTCAGGCAGCCTCCAGTTCGGCTTCGGTAGAGGAGCTGAGACAAGAGGTGGAGCAGAAGCTGACGACTGTAGATCCGGGCAGCAAGGCGGGACCGCCGCCGGCGTCGTCAAAGGCTGTTCGTTTCGCTGCTAGGCCAGGATTTGGTACCCGAGGGAGGAAGCTCGTGGTTAGGGCTAACCATTTCTTGGTGCAAATAGCAGACCGAGATCTCTGTCATTATGATGTAAGGTTCTTCTAACGTGAATAATCTATTTTAATCGAGTATAAAACCATCTAATGCTGTTTGGATTACTTCCGTACTGTTTGCATTGTTGAGGGTAGTGTTGTGTGTGTGTGTGTTTTTTTTTTTTTTTTTTTTTTTCTGGCATCTGTTTGATGGGTAGTGTTGTGTGTGTTGTGTGATTTTTTTTGTTCTTTTTTTTTGACCTTTGGCTCCCAGTTCGTTATAATTTACCATTTATTTCTATAATTCTCTGTTTTTCCCCTCTATTTTTTTGTTGTCCTATTTTATTTTTACATCCCCTGTTTCCCTTCGTTTTTTAATTGCTCTTTTTTTGTTGTTTTTTTTTCCCTGTATTGAATGGACTGGATAAGTATGTCAAGACCGAACATTTGTTTTAAGTTTCTGCTAGTTGTAGGTTATGATGATTTTTGGAACGTTTGCCTTGATACCATTTGGTTTGTGTTTCAATTTAGGTTTGTTAATTTTAGGCAAGTTTTTTAATGCTAATCTGATACAAAGGTTTAGCATAACTCGGAAATTCAACCCTTTGGTTCCACTCAAAAAAGGTTAAAATCGGTGATGTAATTGACTTCAGCTTGTTGACATGTATGTGGGGGCGTCACCACTTGGCATTTCCCGAAAGCCAGCTTATGATTGTTTTTTTTTTTTTTTTTTTTTGACCTTCTCCCGCTCGTTATTTACCATTTATTTCTATAATCTCTTTTTTCCCCTCTATTTTTTTGTTGTCTATTTTATTTATATCCCCTGTTTCCTTCTGTTTTTTTAATTTGCTCTGTTTTTGTGTTTTTTTCCCTGTACTTGAATGGAACTGATAAGTATGTGCAAGACCCTAACATTTGTTTAACTGCTAGTTGTAGGTTATGATGATTTTAACGTTTGCCTTGTACCATTTGGTTTGTGCATTTAGGTTGTTAATTAGCAAGTTTTTTAATGCTTCTGATACAGGTTAGCATAACTCCGGAAATCACCTCAAAAAGGTTAAATCGGGATGTAATTGCTCAGCTTGTTGACATGTATGGGGCGTCACACTTGGGCAACCGAAAGCCAGCTTATGATGGCAGGAAAAGCCTATACACAGCAGGGCCTTTGCCTTTTGAATCTAAGGAATTTGCTGTTAAGTTGGAGGAGAAGAATGATGGTGCTTCTGGTTCAAAAAAGTAACAGTTTGCTACATTTGGTCTTTTGATCTTGATTTTGCGTTGTTTTAATTATTTTGCCACCATCAATCATTTGATTTGCATTATTGAAGCTTAATATTCTCTGCTATGCAGGAGCGAACGTGGATTTAAGGTGGCAATTAGATTTGCAGCTAAGGCTGATATGCATCACTTACGGCAATTTTTAGTTGGAAGACAAATGGATACTCCACAAGAAACCATCCAAGTCCTAGATATTGCTCTTAGAGAATCACTATCTAAAAAGAAGTATATTTGAATTTTATCCTTTTCTTCCTCTGCTCTTCCAGAATAAGTTTTGAATTTATATTTTGCTAAACATTTGAAAACATTTTACCAGTTATGTAATTGCTGGGAGGTCTTTTTTTTCACGTGATTTTGGAACAACGGGTGAACTTGGTGGTGGTATAGAATACTGGAGAGGATTTTACCAAAGCCTACGTCCAACCCAGATGGGTCTCTCCCTTAATATTGGTTAAGTTTCCTTCTAGTTACTATTTTCATTTTTTTAAAAAAAATTTGATTTAATTGTTCTCATCATTGGATTTCTTTATTCTGAATTTTTAATTTACACATCACAGATGTGTCAGCCAGGTCTTTCTACGAGTCCATTTTAGTAACTGACTACGTTGCTAAATACTTTAGGCTGAGGGACTTGTCAAGGCCTCTGTCAGAACAAGATCGCTTAAGGGTAACTTCTACTGCTTAAAGTCTAATTTGAATGTATATAATCTTCCACACTGTTTCCCTGGCTTAATTAATTTTATTTAACTTTCTTTCCCCTTGCAATTTCCAGGTGAAAAAGGCACTGAGAGGCGTGAAAGTACAGCTGACTTACAGGAACTATGCAAAAAGCTATAAGATCACTGGTGTATCAAATAAGCCTCTGAATCAGACATTGTAAGCTTCTGAATTTTAGTCTCACAGATGTGTGATCTATGGAGAATTTTCTTTTGATGGTGGCTAGTAAGCAGTGTCACTAAAGCATTTGTTTCTTTTATATTTTCGTTTGTGTAAAGCCATCTTTTCCTCCCTTCTGCACAAGGATATTTGGAGTTCATATTGGTTGGCTTTTGTTATTGAAGTCTATTTGGGTAAATGCTTCAAAAGATTTCACAGAAGAGGCTGAAGTCTAAAAGTGTAGCTGACTTGTGTTAGGGTTAATTTATTGTGCATCTTTTGGACTCATTTCAATTTTTGATTTGTAACCTGGCTCCAATTAAATTTCTAAAACTTGGGTTTGCTTAAAAGCATGAAAGCAATTTACATCGCCAAAAGAAAACAAAATATGTAAAACATAGTGACGATATTAGTGTATTAGTAGTTATACTTCTTTATTAGCAGTTTTCTATTACTAATTTGTTCAGTTTCCTGCCTAATTTGTTTTCTCTTCCAGCTTCACTCTTGATGACAAGAGGACAAATGTGTCGGTTGTCAATTATTACCGTGAGAAATATGATATTGTGCTGAAACATACGTCTATGCCTGCCCTTCAGGCTGGAAGTGATTCAAAACCCATCTTTTTGCCGATGGAGGTCTTCTTCTTTTACACGAGTAGATTTCTTTGTTAATTTTGCATCTTAAGTTAGGGGCATTTATTTACTATGCTTGTGTAAGATGTTCCTTCTACTGCAGCTTTGTAAGATAGTGGATGGGCAGAGGTATACAAAAAAATTAAATGAACAACAAGTAACTGCAATGTTACAAGCAACCTGCCAACGACCTCATGAACGAGAACGTAGCATTAAGCAGGTATGACCTAGTCCTTGAAGTGCTTATTTATATTTGTCGATAATATTGATTTTTATGTCTAATTTATCATGTTCTGTACTTTATTTTTCCTAGATTGGAAGACAGAATAATTATAATGGAGATATCCTTGTAAAGGATGAATTTGGAATCCAAGTGCAGGAGGATCTAACATTTGTTGATGCCAGAGTTTTGCCTCCTCCCACGGTAATTTTGCATCACTTGCTGATGTTTCTATATATTGTCATTTAGTCCTCAATATAAAGAATGCTGTCTCGTCTGTGGTTGCTGTAGCTTAAATATCATGAGTCTGGTAGAGAATCAAGGGTTGACCCTAGTGGAGGGCAATGGAATATGATTAACAAGGTGAACTTCTAAATCCAAATGTTCGTCTAAGAAAATCAAATGTTCTCCGTGATTGTAGCCTAATGTCTTTGATTTCCTTATTTTGCAGAAAATGGTTAATGGTGGGAGAGTTGATTTCTGGACGTGTGTGAACTTCTCTTCCCAAGTCAACCGAGATTTGCCTGGTGAATTTTGTAGGCAATTAATTGATATGTGTGTCAGCAAAGGAATGGTATGATTTTGTGCTGAAATTTGGTTTTATTTACTTGATGATTGTTTTTAGCTGTGAAGTTTCATTCTTAATCTAGTAGATTGACCCTTGAGTTTATTCAATGTAATGGTTTAGGCATTCAACCCAAATCCTCTTATTCCGATACAATTTGCTCATCCCGGCCAAATTGAGAGGGTTCTTGCTGATATTCACAAGCAATGTACGTCTAAACTTCAGTTGTTGATAATCATTCTGCCTGATTTCAGCGGCTCATATGGTAAGGCACACCAGATTTAGGTTCACAATTAGAAGTCAGGGAACTGTGAGATAAATTTAAAAATAATAATCTTGCATCTGAGATCTTGCTTTTTTGCAGGGAAAATTAAACGAATCTGTGAAACAGAGTTGGGAATTGTGTCACAGTGTTGTCAACCTAGGCAGGCATCAAAGCTAAGCAAACAGTACCTTGAAAATGTTTCCCTGAAAATCAATGTCAAGGTCTATTGTTTTGCACCATAGATTATTATTATTATTATTATTATTATTATCATTTGCATTTCATTGGTTACTGATTGATGATTGGAATTCCGCTAGGTTGGTGGTAGGAACACTGTTTTATATGATGCTATTCAAAGAAGGATTCCTCTTGTGACAGATCATCCTACAATTATCTTTGGTGCTGATGTAACTCACCCGCCTCCTGGGGAGGACTCTAGTCCTTCAATAGCAGCAGTATGTGAAGTTATTTCCTGGCCTTCCCCTGTTCACTTGTTCCTTATTATCCTGATATGTTGTTGGACTGATGCAGGTAGTGGCTTCAATGGACTGGCCAGGGGTGACAAAGTACAGAGGAATTGTTTCTGCACAGACTCATCGTGAAGAAATCATCCAGGATCTCTACAAATCACATCAGGATCCACAAAGGGGCCTAGTTCATTCAGGCATGATCAGGTAAGTGTTTGGCTTGCCATCCTTTGGTACCTGGACTTGGAACTGGTTGTTTAGAATCCTTATTTCACCCGTATGCATTTGCTACTGTTCAGGGAGTTGTTGATTGCATTTAGAAGAGAAACTGGGTTGAAACCACATAGGATTATATTTTACAGGTAATGTTATTAATTGGTATGTGAAAGTTGGCATTTGTAACAGTGTTGCTGATTATGTTTAATCTCATGACAGAGATGGTGTTAGTGAGGGTCAATTTAACCAAGTCTTGCTAAACGAGATGGATGACATAAGAAAGGTATTATGGTGCTTTGTCGGTATTCTTTTTGTGCACTATTCTTATCTTTTGTTTTGTTTTTTTTTGCGGCCCAGTTTTCTCTATATTTTTCCTAAAATGACTGTAATTTTGATTTTTTAAATCATTAGCATTTGATTTCTGTTGCTTGACAAATTTTCAAAGGTCAGATTTCATTTTGAATTTGGACTATGGCTAATCGTTTTAACTCTAAAATTATTTGATACTGAAAAAGTCTTTAGGCTTAATGTGTACAACTGTCTTCTTTTCCAGGCTTGCAACTCGCTGGAGGAGAATTATCTACCACCAGTTACCTTTATCGTGGTTCAGAAAAGGCATCATACACGGCTCTTTCCTGTTAATAGCGGACAGGCAGACAGGAGTGGCAATGTTCTGCCAGGTTGCATTTTGGCTCTCAGTTGAGTAGTTTGTTGTCTTCCCCATGGGTAACTGACTGTTTCATTTTTATTTTGTACTTTTAGGTACTGTCATTGACACTAAGATTTGCCACCCGACAGAATTTGATTTCTATCTGAACAGCCATGCTGGAATTAAGGTATTTTTGTGTTATCCTGTAGAAATAAGTTGGAGAAGCGAACCTACTTGTTTGTTGTGGTGAGTGCTTGGATAAATAACTCTGCTTTTTTTGCTTCCAACTATTATTCAGGGGACAAGTAGACCTACGCACTACCATGTCTTGTTTGATGAAAATAATTTTTCTGCTGATGAGTTGCAAGTGCTGACTAACAATCTGTGCTACACGTAATGCTTTACAGTCCTTTTGTATTAACTAATTTCTCTAGGGGCACCATGTAAACCTTTGACCACCTTTTTACTAACTAATACATTAACTATCGACATTCTTTTCAGGTATGTAAGGTGCACTCGATCTGTTTCCATAGGTATATAACCCCTTTCCTTTACCTTACAAATTCTTTTGATTTATTTGTTCCCTTCTTGTGAATGCTAATGGTTAAATGTTTGTAAATCTTGCAGTCCCTCCTGCCTATTATGCCCATTTAGCAGCTTTTCGTGCTAGATACTATGTCGAGGGTGAGACATCAGATGGTGGATCTACGGGTGGAAGGAGTGCAACAGGTGGGAGGAGCAGGGAAGTCCAACCTCTTCCGGCAATCAAAGAAAATGTGAAGAATGTGATGTTTTATTGCTGAAGTTCTGGGCATCTGTTTTTGGGGAGTTCCTACTTTGTGCAGTTTATGCACATACTGCTAAGTGCCTAACTTAATTGAAATGAAGTCAAAAGTTTTGGGTATATCCTGCGGAGTTGGTGCAATTGGAAGAAACCAACGATACCAAATTGCTACCTCTTTTGCTTTTGTTTGATAGCAAACGCAATTTTTTGGGCTTTAGATTCCCGGCTTTTCGTCGCTTGACGCTATTTTTTGGCAGTTTTGGTCTCGAAGCAAATATACGGATGCTGGGAGCAGATTGTTAGAACTCCTTGTAAATTCTAATTTGCTCGACCCTTAAAGAGTGCCTAGCCATACATGATTGTTATAGTTGTTGATAATTTTGATTTCAATGGGCCTAAATGTCAGTATCTGCTCCTTAGAACAATTTATTCCATTTTGAATGAGATTTGAACCATTTGTCTTGTTATTGATTGGTTCTTAACTATGTTGGTGAATTCTATTTACATATTTCATTCGCAAGTCAATTTGTTTACAAAATATAAGCTCAATCTGATATAATTTCTATAAAATTTAATGAAATTTTTTACGTTATTTTTAAATATAGAGGAAAATGTTTTACATATTTTCTAAGTTGTACGAGCATTAGCTCGTTGATGAGACTCCATGCTGATCAGCCGTTATTTAACAGCTTCAATTCTATATATGAAACTAGTTGTATTAATCATATATATATGAATCCATGGCCAATGAGTATTGTTTATCTTAATTCAAATCAATGATTATGTTCAAGAAATTGAAGTTGCTACTTGGAAATTCCCAAATCCCAATTGGGTTTTGTCCAAATTTCTTTTCTTTTCTTTTTTTTTTTTAATCTTTGTTATTAGTTTTCTTAATTTTATACTACTATTATGTATGTGGACGATATATAACGTTGATTAACAAACATGTAATTATGTATACTAATTCAAAAAATAATCCATGAAAATTTCATTAGCAGACTAAAATAATTAATAACTCAATTATTAAGCAAGAGAATGATTGAGAGAGGAGTCTTGAGCCAAAAATATTAGAAGAGACACAATTACAATTTTAAAGCCAAAAAATAATATCCACCAAAATTCTCTATTTGTAAGCACTCTAAAAAAAGAAGCATTAAAGGGAAAAAAAAAATTAAAATAAAGAATTGAATCAAATTCTTAACAAAATATTAAATTTGCATTAATTCACAAAATTTAATTATTCCTAATTTAAATTTAAATGTTCCTAATTGAGTTTAAAGTATTTGTTCATTTCTTACACTACAAAAAAATTTGAATGCATGATTGAATTCAAACATTAATTTTCAGATATTCTTGTTTTTTCTTAACTGAGTTAAAATATTTATTTATTTTAAAATATTACTATTCAGTTTTTTTTTTTTTTTTTTTTTTTTTTTTTTTTTTTTTTTTTGTTTAGTGAAAGCATATGAGTAACGCAAATTGCTCTGGTTCTTTTTTTGTATGTATTTAATCTTTCTTCTTTATAATATGTTTTGGGCTTAGATTATCCGCCAGGCTTTTACGTACGCTTGAAACTCGCTACTATTTTTTTGGCAGTTTTTGGAGTGCTCGTAAACGCAAAATTCGGATGCTGGGTAGCTAAGATTGTTATATACTCATTTTGTTATGAATTCTTATTAAATATTGCCTCAGGAACTTCTTAAAAGAGTGTCCTAGCCGATAATCGAGTGAAGTTGTTTGTATAGTTTGTTTTGATGGAAGATTTTGATTTCAATGGGCCTAAATTTGTCAAGTATTGCGGGCCTTTGTAGCGATCCTAGTTTAATTCAGAATTATATTTTTTTGGGTTAATACTTTCTATGAATCGCGTTTAGTGAATGAAAGACTTTATGATATGCCATTTATGGGCGTGTATTTATTGTAGTTTGTGCTATCTTGAACTAGTGTTTTGGTGGACGCCAATTTGTATTTGGTACTATATTTTCATACTTTCGCAAGTTCAATTTGTTTTACAAAGTATATAGCCTCAATCTTGATATAATTTCGTATATAAGCATTAATGAAATTTTTTTACGTTATTTTTTAAATATAAGGGAGAATGTTTGTACCATAATTTTCTAAGTTGGTTACGAGCATTAAAGCTCCGTTGATGAGAACTCCAATGCTGACAGCCCGTTGATTTATCAGCTTCAATTCTATTAATTGAAACTAGTTTATAATCATATATATATGAATCCATGGCCAATGAGTAATTTGTTTATCTAATTCAAATCAATCGTTATTAAGTTAGAACTTGAAGTTGCTACTTGGAAATCCTGAAATCGCCATATTGGGGTTTTTTTTTTTTACGTTTTTTTTTGGGTTTGTTTGGTGTTTTTCTGTCCAAATTTTCTTTCTTCTTTTTTTTTTTTAAATTCCTTTGTTATCTTGTGTTTCTTAATTTTATACCCTGAGCTCATTATGTATGTGGACGATATATAATCGTTTGATCTTACAAACGATGTAAATTATGTATACTATTCAAAAAAATAATCCATGTAAAAGCTGTTCAATTAGTTCAATCTAAATATAATTAATACTCAATTATTAAGTGAGCACAGAGAACTGATTGAGAGAGGAGTCGGTGAGACCCATATATATTTATTAAGAAGCATGTACACAATTACATATTTTAAAGCCAAAAATAAATATCCAGCCAATGGAGTTCTCGTAAGTGTAAGCACTCCTAAAAAAATAGAGTCATTAAAGGGAAATAATATTATAATTAAATAGAAGAATTGAATCAATTCTTAAACAAAAATATATTTGCCATGTAATTCAACAAAATTTAATTACTTCTAATTCTCAAATTTTAAAGTCCCTAATTGAGTTTAAAGTATTTGTTCAATTTACTTGAAGCGAGCTGGGGGTTACAAAAACTTTGAATGCATGATTGAATTCAAACATTAAGGTTTCAAGATTTATTTACCTTGTCTTTATTCTAACTGAGCTAAAATAATTTATTTATTTTAAAATATTACTATTAGCCGTTTTTGTTTTTTTTTTTTTTTTTTTTTTTTTTTTTTTTTTTTTTTTTAGTATTAAGATTTTTAATTTGCATTCATGACATTCTTCAAAAATAATACAACAATTGTGCGACCATCAGTTATATCTGATCCTTGAACCCTTTTCTTCATTAATAATTAAACAAATAGAATGCATAATTTTCATTTGAATCTTTTGCTAAACTTTCTCCCATTTTGTAGGCAACGTAATTACTCTTAATATAATTTATATTACATTGCTTATCTTAATACTCTACCTTTTTTTTTTTTTTTTTTTTTTTTTTTTTTTTTTTTTTTTAGTATTAAGATTTTTAATTGCATTCATCGTACACTTCAAAATAATACAACAATGTCTACCATCAGTTATATCTGTATCCTATGAACCCTTTCTTCATTAATAATTAAACAAAAGAATGCATAAATTCACTTTGAACTTTGCAACTTTAATTTTGAGGCAACGTAAACTTTATATATGACCTATTTTGCACTTAAACTTCTTAGGGATCAAACAGATTACCATGTCTTGTTCGATGATAACAATTTATCTGATGAGCAAGTGCTTTACCTTGTAGAAGAATGCCGTAATTATGTAAAAGAATGCCATAATTATGTCCTTGCTGAAGGAAAAATGCATAAATAATTAAACTGAAAAAATATTTATACATACATAAACTAATTCTTTTGTTGCCTCATTGATCCTGTAAGAAATGTAATTTACAAAGCTGTTTGTCTAATTTTACATGGCCTATCAGAATAAGCTTCTAGCAACAAACAGCCAACAGTCAAAGACTCGTACAAGCTCACTGTCCCTGACCCAACTAAATTGCACATTCTGCTCCGCTGATTGCTACAAATATAAACCACACAGACAGAGCATTACAATGAAAAAAGAAACAATGCTACAAAAATAAGCACTAGCCAAGTGAAAACATATGTAGAAGGAGAGCTACAGTTGTCATTTGTATAAGTTTGTACTGCGTATTTGTCAGTAAACCGGCATCACTGCTCGACTTCTCAGAACCAATAGCACTTTTCTGGTGAATTATAGTTGTGGATACATTTACTGGCGCTGAACCTAACAAGACATGATTCACCCATAAAAGGATCAGAGTTGGGTGCAGAACTAAAATCAAACTATTTGGTATATTTACTGCAGTGCATAATGAGTACGGTATTTTTATCAATCATTTAATTTAAGTAGCATAAACTATTATTAACTAAACAATCTGTTTAATTCAATTTCTAAATTTGTAACCCTCATTAATTCAATTGCTACTTACAATCAAAAGGAGTCCATCCAATCCGTTGATTAGCAATATCATAAATTATGATTTTGTCTTTTAGAACAAGATCTGCAAATAAAAAATGGCAAGTATAATTAGCATAAATGCAAAATTACTTAAAATTTAGACAAGATAAAAGAAAAGATCAAGCACAAGATAGCATGAAAGAAGATTTGTCAGTAAGGCACATGCACAGCATACATGCTAGTAAATCTGAACTTTGTACAAGGTCTGTATATTTGGTTAATTCATTATTATCTAAAATTCACCTAAGTAGTAAATCCAGATTTTTTTTTTTTTTTTTAAGGTTGCATTACCTCCTAATATGGTTATTTGTTGATCTGGAACTTTTTGAAATCCAATGCACCACACTGGATTTCCATCCTGCAATATCGATTCAATGACCCCGGTTAGATTTGCAAGAAATCAGACAAAAGTACCACACATGAAACAGAAATCTGCATTCAAATTGTTACAAAAGTTTAGGACTTTTCAACATGCTTCTATCTTTTACTAGAAACCAAAAGAAACATTTGCATTACAACAGCTAAATAAAGAAAGAGGAGAAGCCAATCAAGTGCAGTTTGATTGGTCACTTCACTCACTTTAAAGGTATGCATAGTTAGGGATGTCGGATTTGAGTCCCTTCATCCAACATTATGGTGAAAGTTTTCACTGGTTTATGGAAATTACTAAAAGTGGGAGAGCTACCCTTAATATGTAGTCTATATTGCAGTTGCTGATTACTTTGATAGAATGGAACATAAGAATACTTAAAATTTAAGTGGATTTCAAAGTCAATATCTATGGTTCCGGTTGAAACAAAAAAAGAAGAGAGGAAATGTAAGTATTTTGTGTGAAATATCAAATAGAGAAAAGTAACTGTTTTCTTGTTGACCTAAAGCATCAGGTTTTCAACACATAATTAGAAAATTATGCTTGGGTAGAACAGAAAAGTTTGGGTAGAACAAGATACGAAAACTGCCATAACAATATTATTCATAGAAGTGGGTGAACCAGGAATTTAGTTGAGAGGGGACTAAAATTCATCTCGTCGGTTTCATCATATTCTATGTCAAATGTATAAAGGGCGACACAATGCTTGAAGCATCCCAATATCAGAAATCTTTTATTGGTCATAAAAATATTAAAATAAAATAAATTATAAGTTCAACTACAAAATAAAGAAAAAAAAATTATTTTCAAGGTAATTAATTTAAAAATAGATATTTTATTCATAAAAGATAAATGGGTAATTTGAAAATATTATATACCAAAAATAATTCATGGAGTTGAGGAATAAAAGTTTGAAGATCCAAATATGTAAAAGAAGAAAAAGGTGAAGCATAAACAAGATCAAGAAACTAAAAGAGTTATAAATAAAAATTTGGGTGTTCAAATTTTGGTGTCCCCCCTAATTCTGCCATTGATTCAAAGGGCAAAAAGTTTCATACATGAGAGAAATGCAAAAGCAATATAAAAGCCAACTTCCTTACCATTTTAACAAGGACATCAGGAAAGATAACTCCAAAAAAAAAAAAAAAAAAAAAAAAAAAAAAGTGCTTCAATTATTTATGGTGTCCCCGCCTAAATTCTGGCAATTGATTTCAAAAGTGTCAAAAGTTTCAATACATTATTATGATATGCAATTAGCATATAAAAGCCAATCTCCCTTAACCAATTTTAACAAGACAGGTACTATGGGAAAGTATAGAACTCCAAAAAAAATAAAAATAATAAAGAGGAGAAGAAATAAAAAGAGGGAGAGATACAATGATAAAAATGACTAACTTGACTCAAATTCCATCAAATAATTGGAGTAGGAGTCTTCAGATTAAATGAGATTAATTTACACATCTTATTCAAATTGTCTTTGCTCGTCCCCTAGGTTCTCGGTTCTAGGAAGAGTTAATTTATATTCTGAATTTTATAGGTATTTAGTTATATCCTTATGTCTCGTTTAACTGCGTCTCTTCGTTCTGTTTTTGTATTTACCTGATATAAACATGATCGTTTGTAATTGTCATGTTCATCACTATCCTTGCTTGTCTTAAGTACTTTTCTTTCCTTTTTCTTTTCACTCTTCTTTCTGTCCTTTCCTCTTTTACCAAACACCCCTTTTTTCCACTATAGTCCTCCTTGTGCTGGCACTTTTTTTTCTCGGGCTCGCCGCCTCCGTTCTTCTTTTTCTTTACCTCCTTCTTCTTCCTTGTCTGGTCTTTCGGTCCTTCTGGCCACGTTTGTCCGAGCCTGTCCCCGCGCCCCCCTACGCTCTCCACTCTCTCGGCACAGGTCTTGGTTTGGTTGAATGTAATTTTACGTGGCGCCATGGGCCCCACTCGCATGGGGAGGTTAAGCAATGGAGCGCCACCGGGACGCTGAGGTGCACGGCCCTCGCCTACCTTTTTCCCTTGCCATCCAGTTTGCTTCCTTCTCCTTTCCTCCTGCTTTTTACCTTCCTGTTCCCCGACGCGGCGCGCCGTTTGCCTGCCCGTGCCGGACATCTTTTTCCTTCGCCCCTGAGTTTTTACCCTCCTCCTACCCGCTTTCCTGTCTGCTTGTTCGGCTTTTGGCCAGCAACGACGTTATAACGTTAGTATACTAGATTGTTCCTTGGTCAGATTTTATTGCAACCACATCTTCACACCCCATCGGATCTCCTCCCTTGCCAAAAAAAAAAAAAAAAAAAAAAAAAAAAAAAAGGGAGAGAAAACAATGATAAAAAGACTACTTACTCAATTCCACAAAATAAATTGATAGGAGTCTTCAATTAAATGAGATAAACACATCTTATGTCAAATTTCTTTGCAAGTCAAAGAATATATCAATATATTGTTAACAACTACGAATAAACAGTGAATGTAAAATGCTGTTAACAACTCACAATAGGACTTCTTGGCACAAGGTACTCCCGAGGCGTTAAAACCATTGATGCACCGCCAGCAAAGTTAAAAGTAACTAGAGGAAATGCAACATCAATACTGACCACAAAGTAAAAAATGTAAACCTGGGTTAGATTGTCTAATTGATTGGAAAAGTCAATCGGAAAAAAAACTGAATATCAGATTTGGAAAATGTACCTGGGGCTGATTGAGTAACATTGATTTTCCAGCATAAGAAATGTGCGAACATATTTTGCAACAGCGGTTGTAACCTGCACGATAAAATAACTAAGTACTTCTAATAAAGTTGAAGTTGGATAACATGGTAACACTGAACTTGACAAGAAATTTATTCCACATTTATTGTATATTAAGGTCCTCAATAATTAGAATCTACTAATTAATGAGGCAAAAAGTTCCTTTGGAGCTTACAGCATAGATAAAAGGATCATAAGCTGCTTCTGCAAGGTATGCCAATGTTGTCCCGGAATCAATTATGGTTCCCTGAGTGCTTGTGGTTACAAAAACTGATGGATTGATGGGTAATGTTTCTCCAGCAACAGCAATACTTTGTAGATGTATATTATAATGAGACCTGAAAGGTCAGATATACAGGTAGTTAGTGCCACTTAATGCAAAAATGAGTTTTAGACTCCATCGCTTTGTGCATTCATTTCCAAAATATCTGTCCAATCAAGAAAATTAAACTGACCCATAAAAAGCTAGCTAAGGGCTACAAGCATCATAGTCAAGTAATTAGTTTGATAAGGATGATGTTGTTGTAGCAGCAACACTACTAATGCACAAAGAAAGCTGAAATACCACTTATAGAAAGCAGAGCAAGAACTACCCTCTCGACCCTTAAACATAAGAAAACTTTTCATAGGAATTCATTATATTTTATCATTTAACAATTTCCATTAATCGTTCATTGCAAAGCCATAAATTACTTTAAAAAAAAAAAAAAGATAGTCCTTTGAGCCTGAAACTGTGGTCCAAGAATGATAAGTTACAGATAAATCATTATGAAAAGAACACTAACGTTAGGAAACCATTTGAAAACTGCACATAAAATAAAATTGTCGGTTTAAAAAACATTAAAAGCTACTCTACTAGAAATTCATCAAGTTAAAATGCTCATTATGATTTTCACTACAAAATTGAAATAGATAAAGCAAAAGCATAAACATACTGTGATGGGACAAGTGGAGTATAAACAATATTTGGCTCCAAAACTTCCCCCATAACCAATACACCGCCACCAGCATCATCTCCTTTCAAGCAATGGGAGAACACATTTGGTGTTATTCCTTGTGAAGATAACTGAGATATAACAGACATGCCCGCTCGCCCAAAACCAAATATACCATCAACTGCTCTATCAGGTTTTGTCAAATCCCCAGTATGTTGAGTGCTACACCTGTATAACAATCCACTAACTAAATTCAAAAATTCAAACTTCATAAAGATCATACAACTACTATATGTTTAGCAGATTCATTGTAGCTCACCCAAAAACAATAGGAGCCGAAGTAGAATTGAGAGCCTCAGCATACACATCCATACGCAACATATCTGACACATAATAGCCTGATGTACCACTACCATCCCCATACTGGAACGTGTAGCTGCATCGTTTTCCTGAAGCACAAACAGAATCTGTTGATTGACTTCCAAGACGGCATCTTTTGTCTTGACAGGAGATCGATGAAGCTGTTCTTGAGCTCCCAGGATCAAAGAAAGAGAGTGGAATCTGTAGGAGAACCACAAGGAATCACATCGAAAGCAATTGTAGCCCCAAATTTCTCCTATTGTTTTACAAATTTGGAAAGATTTAAAGTCAAACAAGTAAAATACAGATAAAGTGAAGAAATTACATCTAGTCCACTTGTAGTAGGGCAGCCATCACAGGAACTGCAACTGACCCATAGGACATCACTTCCAGTATCTATTTGTACATAGAAATTTTTTGGAGGAGAACCCAATTGCACTCGTGTGTAATAAAGCCTACATGATCAGAATAGGCATATATTGAATATTTTTATTAAATATGACAACATAATCTATCATTTCCATTTTCCAAGATGCAATATTTTTTTTTTGGGGGGTGCCCCGGGGGTGGGGTGGGGGGGGGGTGGGAGGTGCCGGGAATGGCTATTGGAATTAGAAGTCAGAACCTCATGGTTTTAGAGACGACTGAGCTTATTGCCTTATTGCTCCATGGATGCAATTTGAGTATATGCCCAATGCAATATATTAATATGCATGAACATTGTACCGTACAAAAGCCATTAAGCTAACTTTGTTTTTTTAAAAAAGAGAGAGAGAGAGAGAGAAAGTTAAGCAACAGACTTAAACCAATTGAATGATGAAAATTTGAAAAAAATAAAATTCAAAAATAAATTAAAAAAAAAAACAAATTCCTGTGTTTAAAACTCCTATATTGGAAATTCACACTAGAAAAAATCAATTCAATCAAAACCCATGAAATTTTCAATTAAAACATTAATACCATTAAACAAACAAAGAAACAATCAAAAGGCATTAAAATTTTCAAATTTACAAATATAGAAATGCAATTGAATATCTACACAAGCCCAAAAATACCAAAAACCCAAAATTCAAAATCACAAATTAGGAAAGAATTAGCCTTACCCAACAAGATAAGGATTGAAAGTTCCTAAAGCAGGGAAAGAAACGACTCCATCAATAGCTTGCAACATTCTTCCATGCCTAATACTGTCTCGCTCTTTGAGGTAACTCAACTCGAGCTTGTGACTCGGCGGAATCACCCTCTCTAAAGGAAGTGTCGTTGGAAAAGAACAAACCACCACAAACGCCGGAAAAAGAACGGCAGCAATCACAATTCCCGCGGGAAAAGGTGCTGCCATTTCTTTTTCCTTTGGAATGTATGGTTTGTCAAACTTGGTGATTGGCTTTGTATATGTGCGTGTATATATATATAGAGACAGAGAGAAAAAGAAGGAAAAGAAGAAGAAGAAGAAGAAATTGCTGGTTACGGCTTATACAGAACACAATGTTGTTAACGGTTCGATCTTTGCCATTCTTATTTGAAATCGGATGCGAAATGCGAGGCAAATAAATAGATTTAATGACAGAAACAATCCTGATATATGGAGAGAACTTCAGAGAGAGAAAGGAAAGCTCCAACAAACAGACAATTAGATTACGTGAAAGTTTTTAATGCCTACCTTACATATATATTTTTTATTATATTTTATCTTTATATTTTATAAAATTACATAAATTTACTCTTCTACTATTAGAAATACATGGTTTTATTCATAAACTTCTATTTTTTCCCACGGTTCTATCATTCTATAAATTTTTTATACTTTTTTGTAAAATACAAGGATAAAATAATTAATATAAATATGAACAAATTACTTAATTTTAAAACAATAATTTATTAATAGAGAAACAACAAAAATTTGACAATAAGATATACCGGTGTGACATAGGCAAAAGATAAAAACAAATCTATATATTTTTAGAATTGCATGATTATATCATATATTATGACAAAATATAGAAATGTAATCATAATTTTCTCTTGTTTTTTTGTATAAATCATTATTAGTTAATTTAAATAAATTTTACGTTTACATTAACGATATATATTTAGGAATGTAAATGAGTCCAGCAAACTATATTTGTTTAAAACTTGCTTAAAAAACTCATTCAAGCATGTTTGATAAGTTTAACGAGTCAGATTCAAATTTACTTATTAAAGCTCTTATTGAGTTAAGCTCAAGCTTAAATTTTGAGTATATAATGGATAATTTTTTCTTTTTTAATCATAAATTACAAACGAGCTTATTACAAAATTGAGTATATTTTCATTTAGTTTAGCTTAAATTTTATTGAGTTTCATTTTAATCCTTATAAAATTAATAATTTTATTTTCGTATTAGACACTATTTAAAAGTTTATTTGGAGTAAAAATTATTAATAATAAATAATTTTAGTAAAAAGAATAAAAAATCTCCAGGGACATAATTATAGAGTAGTTATTGGATTAAAGTGTAAAATTAATTTTATAATTTTTAAAAGCTAAAGTGTGATTTGATTTAAAGTATATAATAATTTTAGGAGTCTTGTGTTATTATCAAATATTTGGTATTCTATTTTTTAGAAAAAAAAATATTAAAATCATCATAATTAAAGCGCAATTTGACAACAATTTTTTATATAGCATTTTAATGTTTTGATTCAATTTAAATATTATCTTTATTATTCATATTGTTTAATGGTATATTATTCAACATCTTTAGCATTTTAGATAATGAATTATAAATTTTTTTTTTCATATTTGATGAAATACTAATAATTAAGGATATTTTGTAGTTGTTATTGTAAGAACTTCTTACAAAGTTTGATAGTTTGACTTTTCTAGTAGGTGCATCTAGAGAATTGGTGATTGCAAGTTAGGTTTTTTTATACTTTCATGTTTGAATTAGATTGTAAGAAAAATTAATTAAATAAACAAATTTAAAAACTTATATATAATTCAAACCTAAGGATTAGGTTAATAATAAATAAAAATTTATAGGTGAAAAGACTCAAATCCAAAACATCTTAATTACTCTTTACATTTTTATAGAAAGTAAAAATTAAATCACATCTGATTGACAAAAAGAAATTAATATTAATAACATACTAATTGATCTAAAAATAGAAATATATTATACAAAAATATGTGATATTTTATTTTATTAATTAATTAAAGAAAATTATCATTTATTTGAGTTCTTTTATGGATTCAATTATCTTAGTAGATGAGACTATTAAGCAACTTTTTTTTTTCTTCCCACATTTGAAAAAACAAAGCAAAGAAATTGCTCGTATATGACTGGTAATTTTTTTTAAAGAAAATATAAAAGCTTTATTAATTAAGAAATTAAATGATTTGCATTGAAAGCCTTTGCACTATTATCTCTGTCATATAATATTTGTCACATTTGAAATTTCATATCTCTTAAGATAACTATTAAATTTGTGTAAGTTACAATAATTTATTGGATAAATTGACTATATTACTGTTAATTTAATACTAATTCTCTAAGAAACCATTAAATTGAAGTAATAATTATTGGTTATATACAAAGGGAAAATATGAAAAACAAGATTTATTATTTTTTAAAATCACAAATATGATAAGTATTTTAGAACAGACTATTTTCTTAAATACGATAATTATTATGAAACGGAATTAATAATATATGTTACTAATATTTTATTTTATTAAAATATGAAAGAGTCAAAAAGTTATTAGATTTGAACATCAGAACCAATTATCTTTTAATACATTATTATATCTATATTATATAATGGATATATATATATATATTTTTTTAGAGAATTATACTGTTTAAGAAGTGAACTTCAATAATAAGTCATCTTGTACCAAACCAGGCTTCAGCCATCAAGGCCCCACCAAAACTCTCTTTCTTCAACCTTAATGTGGGCCTAGTGGGCCAATTCCTATCTTATAAAAGGAGTGTGCAAGCCACGTACCGAACTGAATGGAAAATCAAATGAGTGGATTGCATAAAAATTCATCGATTAGATTTAAAATCGAATCAATATTATCCGATTTGAATCGATTTAAATATCAATTTCGATTCTATGCGGTCTATTGTTCAAAAACTTCAATTTACATTTTTTAATTTTGATTAACCGACAGTTTGGTGATCCCTTAAAAAAGGAAGGCCCAATAGCCACTAAAATATTTGAAATAAAGTCGAATCGTCTAAGTTCCACAATGAGGTACACCTTTAGAGTACTTTAGCACAACCCAATGCATAATTATTTGTCATTTTTTTACTTTTTTTTGGTCGGTTTTTTTAAAGAAAAGAAAAATATATTGTCCACGTTCTTCATCTTTTTTACTACTTTGTTATTATACAATTATTATAATAATACTTAGGGACAAAGTTATGGCTTGCCTTTTACAAAATGACTTCCTTGCCCCTTCATAAATAAGTTTTCAAGTGTAAAATTATTATATCCTTAATAATTCATAGTATTTATGAGAATTTTAGAACATAGATGAATTAATATTGTGATATGTGATGAGCATCTCTTAAATGCTCTAATTAAAAAAATTTAGAAGAATAATTTTTGAAATTAATAAGGCTTTATTTAGTATTTTATTTTATTTTTTATTTAATATTTCTCTATTATTTTTCATTACTAATTATTTTTTAATAATAAACTGTAAACATAAAGCTGAATAAAGTTTAAAATAATAAAAAATATTTGTTCATTTAAACCAGTAACAAATAATTTCATAATTGAATTCTTAAAGGAACACCATCCAATTATAGATACTAATGTCATTTTGCTATATATAAGAAGATTTCTAGTAGCTTTTCAAAAAAAGAATATTTATAGTAAATTCAAATATAAATTGATTAAGCTTTAACATTTGTATTTATTAAATTATATTTTGCTATATATATATAAAACTATATAAGACACTAAATAAAAGCAAAAAAGAAAAGAAAAAAGCGAAAGGGACAAGATTGGTATTTTTTATAATACGATTCATTTCCCGAGGCAGTGGCATGACTGACAGCAGGGGGGTCATAAATCATAATGGTAAAAGAGGAAGGCGGGCAACCGGGCACGTACTTTGTCCTTAGCATGTTACGGATGCCGTATCCTTAGGGTCCCACAAGAAAACATCAATAGTATTAATAACGAGGGAAAACTTACATTACAATCCTTGTATTTTGTTGAAATACAATTAATCCATTTGTGTATTTTTTAAAATATATCAATTTATTTCAGTGTTTTGCTTTTGTTATTCTTCTAGGTTTTTGTCATAATTTTTATATCTTCTCTGTTAAGTTAATAAAAAAATATAAAAATCAGAAAAGAGATATTAAAATTTGTAAGTCCGTCTCTATTTTTTAAAAATATACCAAAATTAAAAGAGATAAAAAGTGATATTTACATCATTTTATAAAATATTTAATCGAAAATATATCGAAATAGGCAAAAAAAACTTTATAATTCGGCAAAAGTGAATTAGGAGATTTTTATATGTTTAAAACCACAAAAATTGATTAATTATATATTGTAAAATTTATTGACCGTACTGTATTTTTTTTGTTAGTAATAATAATAATAATTCATGTCGAAAATAATAATAATAATAATAATAAATAATAATAGTATAGTAGTAACTTTTTTACTCTTTTTGTCTGATAATATTATTACCAATTTCATATGTTTCAAATTTTAATTTTTCATTTTCTATTTTAGTGGAAAATCAAATTATATATTAAAAGAAAATTTTGTCAATAATACCCACCAAATTCTTATTATTGAATTTATGCAATTTGTCACTAACAAGAAATCACTTCCATATAAAAGACTTTTTTTATACACGTGTCCGTAACCCATTGGACTTGCGGTTCATCAAGCCAACGAAGGGAGGAAAAACTCTGCCAAAAAAAATTTTCTCCGTTACAAAAGACGTTTTAATCTCTATATTAAAATAAATTCAACTATTATTATGGAATAAAATTATTATTATTAATTTTCGATATATTTTTCGTGGGAACCAACAGATAATTTTTGAGTATATCATTATTAAAATTTTTTAAATTTTTACTTAATTTATAATTAGTAATTTATTGATTTGGTATTGGTTGATTTGTTGGTAGAATAGGTTATTTATTCATTAGCTGGTCTCTACCTTAACTTATACTAAAATAAATTATTTTTATATATAGAATTTTAAAATTAAATGTATTTAATTTAGAATTTTTTAACTTAATTGAGAATTTTCTTTCAAATATAAAACTGTGAAGTTCCAATGTGCTTAAAAAGCACTATTAAACAGGACCATTATAGGAGAAAACAAACAAGGTGGAAAAAATAGTATAACAAGAGATTATTCACTCCACATCATGAGTATTTGCAGATGCAAGAGATTATCCTACAAAGCCTTTTCAAAAACTTCAACTGTCCGGGTCTGCCGAAAAAAAACAGAGACCTGTCATTCGAACTATCCAAATTTCTCCATGCAATCCCAAAATGGCTAAAGAATAACCGCTGCCATCAGTCATCTCTTTAGCAAGCCAATGTCATTGCAAGCAACCATGGGGGAATCAATATTGCCATTTCATATTTACCAAACCAGGATGTTGAATTTCTTCAAGAAGTAAAAAATGACACTGAAAAGGAAAATACCTCATTTCCTTTCCAAAAGAAATGATGTGCAGGAAAGGAGGGAAGACAACTCCTCTTGTGTTGCCAATCCAAAGCCTTGCCATCTTATTCTACCGAATTTGTCAAGTAGAAAAATATATCTGCAAAGCAGTAACAATAACGAAGCATATTTTTAGAACTAACTGCTGCTGTTTAGCAAAACATAAGTTATGAACTGAAAAGCTTTTATACCCAGTGAGGAGGTTTAGTATTCTAAGTTCTTTTCTGAAGTAATAATGATCACCAAATGAATAAAGAATCTGCTTCTGAAGTGCATTGTTTCCATCGCCACTAGGTTTCCTCATTATTCGAAGAAGCAACCGCTTGATTGGAGTCCTACATAACAACCAGGAATCTATGAGAGAGACCTGAAAATAAGAAACTTTGATTATGAGTCAAATGTAACAATTTGAAAATAAGAAACACCTTTAATATCTAGACAATTATGAGAATGTGAAAGATAAACTGGGATTCATATCTGTTGGTATCATCCTCATGCTTTTAACTAAATGATATCAACCAAAAAGGCAAGAATCATCTTTACTAACCTAACTTTCAGGATTTTCTATGTGAGTTGGAAATGGAGAATAATCTACTGAAATTAGTTGTTACTTGTTTTGGCATTATATAGCAAGGATCAAATCTGTCTGGATCTACAGATAAATGTGCACAAATGCATGTTCAATACAAATACCAACGCCGATCCCTTTCTGTCAGGCCAGTAATTTACTAGTGATTGGTTTAAATTGTTGTTTTCTTCTGCTAATTAAAGTACTACCCCTAGAAATTTGGTTAATTGACAATAGTTTGGCGCATACTTATTTTCTGGAGACTGTTGTTGACATTTCCCAGGACTTAGAACAAATGGAAAAAAGGAATCAATAAAGTTAAATTGTCACCAGATGTTGTCATCACAGTTTTGTAGCATGTCAATTCCACATTATTATGGTAAAACAATTAAAGCAAGTGCAGTTTAGTACCTGATAAAGCTGGATATCTTTTGCATCGCAAAAGTTACTGATGAAAGGCATGGTCCAGGAGTCAATCATTGCCTGTCAAGAAAAATAACATTGCATTGTAACTTAAATATTAACACTATAATCCAACCAGAAATTTCATCTGTGGTATCAACCATGGTAGTTAGAGTCACGCTTCAAACTGTAGAAGCGTATAATTCTATGAGTCACAAAAGTGAAACTGTTCTAAATGGCACCAAGGATCGCTAGTTGGCTGGAATCGGGTAGAATTGCGTCTCGCAACGTAGAATCGGTAGAAACTTATACGATAACCGATTCAATTTACAATTGGGCTTTGTGTCATTTTTCAGCCAAACATATTTCTAGCCCAACAATTGTTGGTTTATCATCCACCACCCCAAATTAACAAAAGATGTGAAAGACAAAGAACACTAGCCAATGTGATTGATTGAACAAAGAAGAAAGGAAAGGAAAAAGAACAGCAGTGTGATAGAAGAAAGAAAGGACAAAGAAAGAAGGAGAAAGAAAGAAGCATTGATATCTGGTTCTAGTTCTAAATTTCTCTCTCTCTATTAGCTATTAATTTTTTTTTAGTTTCTCTTCTGCTCTCCTCACAATAGCATGCTGTCTTGCATGTCAATATATATCAATTCGACAATTCATGAAGTTATAATTTTGAAAGGATTCAAGTACTAAATTAAACCGAATAAAACAAAAAGATGTGCCTTTCAGTAATTAAATTAAATATTAAATTAAAAAGACTAAAAATATTAAGGAGTTCAGTAATCAAATTAAATATTAGATTTTTTATTGAATAAAAATAAAACAATAACTATAAATATATACAGACCCAGAAGTGAAAATTGATACTTTATGATTGATTGAATACACAAAAAGCATGCAAATTGTCATGTGGATGATGATTGAATACAACAAAGATGGTTGAATTTGAGACGTGTACTTGGTTGGCATTTTTAGTGGCAAAATTTTAAGTTTTAGCGGTTTCTGTTTGCAAGAGGTAGAATCTTAATGTTGACTTATGATGTTACCAATTTACAATTTTAGGGTCTTCAACCGTTTCGTGGTAGAATCTATGACTCTGACAACCTTGCTATCAACATTTTCAAGGGGGACATACCAATAATGAACAAGAGAGATCTGATACTCTTCACCTAGGAATTGGCGAGTTGGCATACAGTTCCTTTATAATGTCTAAACCCTCTAAGCATCAGACGACAGCTAGATTAAAAATATAACAGCAGCAAAAGGAATGATTTAATATGACCAAGACATTCTGTCATGCTACTCAGGAAGTTAACCCTAATCATAAACTCTATCACCAAAAATTCTTCCAAAATAAAAATTTGTATCATCTTTTTTTGTATACTTGCCATAATCTGCGTTGCAGATTAAAGAATGGACACTGGATAAAGATACCAATGGATTAAACATCCCAACAACATATGATAATCAAAAGGAAACACTTAAGATGCTAGCAGTCCGGCTCTCTTTCTCCACAAAATAAAGCTCCAAATAAGGATAGTAGAAGACGAAGAAGGGAGCAGCTTACTTTTGGGACAAATGACCAAACCTCTAGGAGAAATAAAGCCATCATCCAATCTTTCAAACAAAAGCATATTCAAACTTGAGAATCTTGTAACGAATTATCCAATTGTAATCAGTGTAGTAGTTATCTAAGCAAGTATTTTATTTTAAATTTGCTATTATGTACAGCAGAATTGACATGCATGGGAAGAAATTAAGGCTGAAAAATAAGCAATATCCTGAGTGCCACTACACATCTTCACAAGTGAACTTTTTCATAACCAATAGAGGTACATTTCACCTTTCCTTAGCATCATAAGACAGCTTATTTAAAGTTTAATACAATTGAATTATTCGTATTCAGATTTTATTAATTAACTTCCTCATTGCTTATCTTTCCTTTCAACTGCTCTTTTTACATTTTTCACTCATTTTCAGTACTTAAAATTGCCTTACTTGCATTGTTAGCAACTCTAAAACCCAAGAGATTGCAGTCAAGAATTTTTCATAATGTATAACACATTAAATGTGCAAGGAACATATATCATATAAATGTAACAAAAACAAAAAAGAGGTTGAAATCCTATACCTGAGAGCTTGCTCGAAATGAAAGACATACTAAAGATGCTTTAGGAGTAGTGGATGCATCAACATCACCTATATTTCCATTATACCCAATGGGCAACTTTAAAGTTCTGCCATCTGAATAGTTTACTTCTATGTTGGGAAACTTCACAGCTGCCACTGCAGGAATTATAATTTTATTTGCCATCGCAATCTGCACAAGCAATAAGCATCTATCACAAACTAAAAAGTTCCCTTCTAATGAATGCTCATAGTGTAATGCAATGTTCAGAGTTACCAGGCCGCTCATGCCGCAGGCAGAGGTGGTGCGGGCTCAATTTACAAGTTTTCGTAATTAAGCTCCCAGCATGAAAATTACTTGCAGGCAAATATTAACTTAATTTGACAATCTTAGGCAGCAATCTAAATTAGATATAGACAATATTATACAAGGTGAATTATTCAAAACATTATGTAAGACTGATGATCAATCTTATTGAACCAAATCTTGTATAGATGATTACCCTAACAGATAAAACCAACAATAACATTCCATGGATCAATTATCAGAAAATTGACGATCATATTCAACTTCATTATTGATAAAAAATCTATTGATCAAATACTTATATATGCATTCATAATTGCCAATGCCAAACATACAAGCAAACAAGAAAAGAAAGCAAAATGAGCAGAGTGGAAGCTACAAAATTGGGCATGTTCATTAAACAAAACCTACATATGTTATCCATAACTTTCTTACCTTGCCACCATGTTGCTTGTACTCTGCCATATCAGCAAAATAACCCCTATTCATCTCATCTTTACTGCCCTAAATCACAACACAAATACCAAACTAAATCTGAAAACCCAACCCTCATTTAAATTAAAAATAGAAAGAACTTGCAAGCATTCACATAAAAAAGAGATAAATAGCACTTACAGCCTTTCTCGCTCTTTCTCAATAGCTGCTTTGTTTCCAAGCTACAATTTGAAAAAAAAACTCAGCTCAAACAATGTAAAAAAATTTCAAAGATTAATTCTTTCTCAAAAAAGGAGAAATGGGTTACCTGGTAAATATCCAAAAAGCGAGTGGAGGTTTTCTGGAAGAAATGCATAGAAGGAATTGGATCAATGAGATTCTTCTTTTCTCGTTGCTGTTTTTGACATAATAGAAGTGACGCTCGGGTCGAATTACTATTATTTTGTATGAAACGATGTAGTCTCAACATTTTCTGATAGAGATTTTTCTTTTCCTATTCGAAAAACCCTAAATTCGTAGCTTGATCCCTGGTCTCTCCACAGAGAAGAGGATAACGGTGGTTTCCGTCTAAAAACAGTTGGTGGCAGGTGGTGAAGGTTGCTTAAGGCACTGGCCCAGGGCCCAATTTTATTTGTTTTAACGAAACGTTTATTGAAAAGCGGTTGCCGCCAAAACGACAGGATGAGTCTTAATGTCGTTAGGATTGATGTTTCCAGATTCCAGTGGTCCAAGGAATAAGGCCGTAATCGAGATAACTGCTCATGAGCTACTCGAATCTCGACTCGGTAAAAGCTCGCTCGAGCTCGTTTAATGAGTTCATCAAACCGAGTCAAGCTTAAGTCATTATCTAGCAAGACAACTTTATATTCTATCGATGTCAAGACTTACAATACACAGTCAACTATACAAACTTTAAACTATTCTAGGGAATTCGCTATAGTCTAGTAGTAAAGACTTCCCTGCACTTTTAGGAGTGCTAGTTCTTTTGTGACGTGTCATGTAACATCTAATTGAAAAAAAAAAAATAATGTTTTTGCTTTTCTCTTTAATAAAATATATAATTTTGTTATTAATTAATTATATAAAATAATTAATAATTTGCATTTATCATATTGCAAAATATTTTATAATTTGGCGATGCTATGATCTTAATAAATCAGGACTTGCTCTATATAGCAATAATATAAAATATAAATTTGATATTCACATCAATTATTTTTATTAGATAAATTTGAGCTTAAATTTTGTCAATAGTATGTAATATTTTAGACTCCATATCTTTTATAAAAAACCTAAAAATAAATTGCTTAAAGTTATTAGCTCCATATAGGGATCAATATGCAAAAAATAATATTGGTAATAGAAGATCTTTTATCAAGTCTATAGATAGATATAAATGAGATTACATTCAAAAATTTCAAAGTCCTATATATTTATTTAAAAAATATTTGAAAAAAATTAAAATCTCAAAGATCTAATTATCTTTATAACTAATTTTCAAATTATTTTAAAAATACATCCAATTAAATTATAGAAAACTAAATGATATTAGTCAAATATTATAATTTTATACTTCTATTAATTTTGTTAAATTAGAATTATAAGAAATTTTAAAATACAATAATGTGTAAATAATCTAAATACGTATAATTTAAAGAGAAAGAATATATTTAAAAATTTTATTTTTTAAAAATTATTTTAAAAAATACATCCAATTAAATCATAAAACATTAAATTGAGCTATTGAATTTTCTCTTTATTTCTCTTTAATATAAAAAAAAATTAAAAATAATAAATGATAACAAATATGTAAATTACCATGTTTTCATTAATTCAAACTTTTATAGTTTTTTTTTTCAAAAAGATTTTATTAGACTATAAGACTATAATAAGGAACAACTTTCGTATTTGATATATTAATCAAATACTATAATTCCATATATTATTATTTTTGTTAAATTAGAATTATAAAAAATTTTAAAATACAATAATGTGTAAATAATTTGAACATATGTAAATCAAAGAGAAAAAAATATATTTAAAAATATTTTTTAATTTTATTGTATTTAACAAATAGACTCTAATAGTAAATTATTTGACCATCAGAACATAATAAATTAGAAGAATTTAAGTTTATTTTAAATACTTCAATTTCGATTTACGTCCTAGAAAGTAGTATCACGTAAGAACCTATAATTAAGAACATCAAAATCTATTAATTATAAAAATCATTAGACAATAATATTACAAGATCAAAATAGACAATAATAGATAAATTATAGATTTGTTGAAATATTAAGATACATTAAAATATTAATTTTTGCTGTCTTAATAATAAATTACTAAAATTTCTTACTTTATTTTATAAAAAATAATTTTAGAATCTAAATTGAGTTAAAAATATTGTCCTCTTTTTAAATATTAATTGCTGAAAATAGTAAGTTAATTTGACCATCAGGACATAATATTAGAAGAATTTAAGTTTTATTTTAAGAGTACTTATCAATTTCGAGTGGTTACGTCCTAGAAAGTAGTATCACGTAAGAAGCTATATTTAAGACATCAAGAAATCTTTAATTATAGAAAAGTGCATGTAGACAATAATATTACAAGATGCAAAATAGAGCAGATAAGTAGAGTAAATTATAGATTTGTTGAAATATTGAAGATACATTAGAAAATATGTAAATTTTTTGCTGTGCTTGAATAAATAAAATTTACTAGAAATTTCCTCTTACTGTTATTTTTATAAAAAAATAATTTTAGAATCTAATTGAGGTTAAAAAATATTGTCCGTCTGTTTTTAATATTATTTTGTTTTAATTAAATTCAATATTAATGTTTTAATGTTTTTGATTCATATAATTATTCTTGTTTTCATTTCTGTATGGATAAAGATTTTTTATTGCGAATGATCGATTAATGCATTAGTGATATATTCGTAAAGAAATAGAGAAAAAATTTTAAAATAAAGAATTGAATTTAGTTTTTTAGATATATATCTTTTCATTCTAAAAGGTAATAATAAAATGAAAATAAGATGATTAATTTATGGTAACAGATGGTGCATTATAATATTAAATATTGTATATTTAGTTTATATTTTTATTTTTTTCTTTTTTTTGGAAAATGTTCCAAAGTCAATAATGACTTTTTTTTGTTTGAATTCTAGTGATAAGTTAATTATTAATTAACTATGGAAACCGTAATAAACTAAGTCATCAATAATTGTTTTCAAATGAAGTTAAAAGATAATAGTAACATTCTTAATATTTTTTTTTAAGTTTCCAAAATTAATTACTTAAATCAACAACGATCAATTAAAAATAATTATTATGATGAAATGTGTACGTATTTATAGTAATTAGATTAATTAGTCGGTGAATATTTGAGTTTTTACCTTATCTGTATCATGAGAATTTATTATTTATAATTCCTAATAAAATGAACGAAGTATTATAGTTGTAACATATTAAAGTAATAATTCGAAGTGTTATTATTTATTTTTAAAATTAAATTATTATGTGAAGGTGTTTTTAAGAAATGAAAGCAATGAATGTTTCATTTAAGAATTTATTTCCAAACACAGGTCAGTTTTTGTGAAATTTAATTGAAGTGTTCTTATTTTAGAATGTATGAGCATACCAAACAGTGACCAAGTTTATGTTTTACAAAATGAATTCTTTATTTTAAATTATAGCATACCAAACATGACCAATTTATTTACAAATGAATTCTATAACCATGATTCATTTGTTCCAAACGGACAGAAATTTTCCAAAGAAAATAAACAAAAATGAAAAAAAAAAGTAAAAATAGTTGAGTTTGTAGTGGAGGGTAATTTTAGCAATAAACATTTCAATAGTCAATTTTGTGAAATTCATTTACAAATTCTATTAATTTTAATGTAATTTGAGTTAGGCATACCCAATTCCATAGAATTCAATTTGTAGAATTCAAATCTGTATTTTTTTTTCGTTCCAAACATAACATTTTGGATTTTCAAATGAATTCCATAAAATTTTATGGAATTCATTTATTCCAAATGGGTTCTTAAGTGTTGCCTTTAATATAAAAATTGAAAAAACTTAGATATAGATAAAATAGTTATAAATAAAAAAATCAAAATTTTAAATGTGATATATATTATAACGTGTGAAATAATATTTTTAATAGAGTTTTTTTTTTTATTTTGAAGTTTATTTTAAAATTAAAATAAAAGTCTGTGTATAAAAACATAAATAATCAATGATTGAAAATTCAATTAGCATAATATATTAAAATAATATAATAATATATTAATAAAAAAGTATTAAAAATTTTTTAATTTATTAGTTATTAAAAACTCAAGTTACTTAATGAATTGAAACTACTATCAATTATCTAATGACTAATTATATTTTAGGATTTCTAAAACTTTTCACTAAGGTATTATAGGTAATCCTATTATTTCCCAATTTCCATATTTATATATAATTAATCTTTTCTATGAGGTGCATTGAACGTTGATTGTACTCGTTCAATTTTTTTACGTTATTGTTCACTTTTTTATACTTGTTTTTATTTTTTTAATATTAAATATTGAGTTTTTTGATTTTTTTAATATGTAAAATATTTGATTATAATATTGATTATAATTTTTATCTTATATTATTTAATTTTTATAATATTAAAATAGAATTTTATATGAGATTAATGCGAATATAATGGTTAATTAATAATATAGCAGTGTGTATATACACACATATTTCAGTTCAATTTATATCCATTTATCTAAAATTCGTTATAACTGTACATCTATAATTCTATAATATCAACAAATAAATATGTTTCAATATATGTAGATACATAGATGTAACATATAAAATATTGTATATATTTTTAAAATTAAAATTTTCAACTGTTCCTCATTCCACACACATATGTTCATTTTATTGAAAATAAAATTTATAAAATAATAAAAATTTTAAAATACTTAATTATGTATGTTCTATTTGAAAATTTATTTTTTTACGAAATATATCCAATCAAATTATATAAACATAAAGAAAAAAAATATTAACAAAAATTACACTTTTTCTTTTTTTATCTCTCTTCTAAATAAAATTACACTTTTTCTTTTTTTATCTCTCTTTCTAAATAATAATGATTTTAAAAATTGTAATAAAATGCAATAGCTCAAGACCATTTCAAAATAAATTTAAATAATAAAATAAAATAAAATATTTCAAAAATATCTGCGATTATTATATATATTTATTAAGAAATAAATGAAAAAAAAGTATAGAAACTTAAAATTTTGAAATGATTAATTATCTATTATATGTATTTATTTAAAAAATAATTTAAATAAATTATATCCAATCAATTAATAAAATATAATTTTCTGATTGGTCATTACGATATCCAGATTTTATTAGGGGGTGCTATCGAAAATTTTATTTTTTTCCCTATTCCTACATGTATATATAGCATAGATAAATTATAGATTTGCTGAAATATTCAGATATATTAAAATATTAATTTTTTGCTGTCTTAATAATAAATTACTAAAATTTCTCACTTTATTTTATAAAAAATAATTTTAGAATCTAAATTGAGTTAAAAATATTGTCCTCTTTTTAAATATTAATTTTTTTAATTAAATTCAATATTAATTTT